TTGTGTGTGTGTGTTTGACTATTATGCACGTTAGAAACGCGGCACACTTCGCTGTGGCTAGCAGCATGGAAAAACAAGCGCGCTCGCATTAATTGAACAATTTTTAGCGCAACTTTTTTTTGCCATTTTCTAGATTATTATCGCTTCGGGGGGTCTTTAACTTTTTTTTCCTGTAGCCACAACACGCGCAGCGCTTATTAAACGACGCCCCGTGACAGGCTTCGCGTGTTTATAATTCACACTTCTCTTGAATGCTCCAATACCTACGGAAATTTACCGTAGCACTAGCAAAACTGGCTTAAAAAACTGTATAAAAAAATGAAGTCATTAAGTGCTGCAGCTTTGGAGGCGCTTATCAGCAGTTGAAAGTGCAGTTGCCTGTTGCATGACAGAGTCTGGATATTGTTAATTACTGCTAGCAGACCGCTGCACGTTTATTAAAAAATTAAAAACATTAAAAGTAACTTAAGTACTAACAGCTCAAGTTAAGCAATTCGCTAGTTAAGCCACGGCGCACCGAAATCATAATTATATCCATATATAATTAAGTTTTTAATTGGCTTAAAGCTTTTTAATTGTATGTCCCAGCTAATAACACAATGAATATGATAGGGTTAAAACAAGTTGCGGACATTATTGTGCATGTAATATTTGCAATTATAACCTAGGATTTTTTATACTACACAAAAGGATGGTATTTTATATAAAAAGGCCAGAAACATGCAAGTAAGAAGCAGCAGAGTTTACTACCGACCTTATTAGCAAATATATATATATATATATATATATATATATATATATAACTTTGTTTTTGACTGGAGTAGAAATGAAAACGGACGCTAACATGTTTTCTAAAAGTAAATGTAGGTCATGTTGTCGTCACTTTTACCATCTTTGCTGCGCTGAAATTTAGTAACATCGAACTTTCGAGTATCGCCTTACTATGCGATTCTCATGAATCCAGGTCTTAAATATTTGTTGTTTTCATTATGAGTGTCAAAATAAGTGTCCAATCATAATCTCAAAGCTGCTGCGCATTATTTAAATATTGTAATTATCACCCTTTTATGGGAATCTCATGCGTTCAAGTAAGACTCACAGGATTTTCGTTTGTTTATTATAAGCATTATATAAATGTGTTGCGTTGATTATATTAATTTACTCTCCTACAATTTTTCATGCCCTCTCTCTCACTCTCTTTCTCCCATGTTATCAGCTTTTCTCGTTTTGAGGCAATTCACCTCTTGACCAATATTAACCTTAAGTTGCGTATGTATGTTTACTGTTTGCTTTGCCTGAACCAAGTTTCTACCTTACATATAAGACAAAACTTTTCAAAAAATGATTGCTTATTGAAATTGATATTGACATTTTAGATAGTTAAAAGAATAAAAGAAAAGTTTGAAGTCGAACAAAAAACAAAAACATGCAATCAACAGTTTTTCCTTTACTTTCGCACCTTGTGGTGGATTTTGAAATATTGCTCAAACACAAATTCCTAATTAGTGAGTCAGTCAATCAATCAATCAATCAGTCCATCGGTCAGTCAGTCTGGTCAAGCAGTTTTATATATAAATGTTGAGTAAGTGCGCTTTAAAGTTTACTTTAAAGCTGAATGTAGTGTATCCACTGACAGAACACACGCTCCAACTGAATATTCATGATAGTTTTTCCGCTTTTGTTTTGCGCTGTATATCTCTGGCGCACAGCTGGGCATTTGCTTTGGTAATTTGTTAATGTTTTGTGAAAAAAAAGCCAGAAATAAATTCGAAAATTTGTTGACAGCTTCAAATTTGTGCCCGCTGGGCTTTTGTCTGTCACGCAGGCCCCCAAATGAGCAGCCATCAAAATAAAAGGGTCCTGCGGCGTTTCATATTTGTTTATTTATTGCCATCAAACCCGTAAACATTTTGCGCTTGCTTCCCTTGTTGTTTTATTTATTATTATTTTTTTTTTGGTGTTTATTTAATGTTTATGTGCTCCGTTGTTTGTGCCTCATTTGCATTTTATACACACCCAAGCCGCCTTAGATACTCTACTGCGCGCCACTCGCAATGTCACAATTAAAAAAAAGAAATTATAAAATAGGAAAAACGTGAGAAAAGCGAAATGCTTAAATGTTTAGTGTTGACACACGCCAAGTGTTGCAGGACGCAGCGCCCGCGGACTTGCAACAACCATTGTGCCACATTCGGAGTAAGCCATTGTTGTTGTAGCTGCTGCAACCATTGTTGTTGCTGTTGTTGCTGTTGTTGCTGTTGTTGGCTGTTGTTGCTGTTGCTGCTGGCGTTTAGCTCGTTAGCCGGCCATCATGCAAGACTGCTGTGGCACGTACAAGTGGCAAATACAAAGGCAGTTGTGAGTGTGAAAGCCACTTGAAAACACGACTAATTGGAGCTGACGTTCTTATACATATGCGTACATACGTATGCCAAGCGCATTACGTATGCGCCGCGTTGTGCAACGGGCACTACAAATTTATGAGCACACACACTCACTTGCTCGCACAATTACAAAACTGTCGTCGATTGTTACAAATCAATGAGCACATGGGCAGCCTTCACATGCAGCAGTAACGAGTCATTAGCGACGCTCAGGGACGCACAGGACGTCGGGATGAAAATTGCTGAAGTAGCGCTAATTGCAAAGCAATCGAAGCACATGAAACGCGCATTAAATCACAGCTAAATCGTAGGGTAGGTGTAGGGTAGGCGTGGGCCTTAGGGTAACTGTGTGTGTATGCGTGTGAGTTACCGACTGCAAATGGCGCACATACTTACGCATTTATGAGGACACACATGCCACTTGGGAGCTGCTTAGCTCAGCAGTTGCCGGCTGCCAGTCCACTGGGAGCTGGCCCGGCAGCTGATGAAGGTCAATATGCTTACACTTAGCCTGATTTTCTTACGCTTTTGTGCATGCTTGCGTGTCTGTGTGTGTGTGTGTATGTGTGTGCGCTTGGCTTTTATTGACAAATACATAAAATGCGCTTGAACCTTTTGTTAAGACGACGCACACCTTTGGTTTCATTTAGGTCCAACGTGTGTGTCCTCTGTTTCGTGTCCTTCTTTCTTATACCCTTGCAGAGAGTATTATGATTTTGTTATGAATTATATAAACCATACAAGCAGGAATTTCATATCCCATAAAATATATATTCTAAATCAACATCAACAGTTGAGTTAATGTAGCCTCTTCCGTCAGTCCGTCTGTTCGTGTGTCCGTTTGTCTGTTTCTAAGCAGGCTATGCCCGTGAGGCATAGGTCTACAAGTGTATTAAATCATCGGCGTGCCGAAAATATACTTATTTTCTCGTTTTTTTTTGTTTCTTCTAGAGGCTTTGCCTTTCATTTCGCTTGCTTAACTATTTATGAGCTAGCAATCCCTGGAACGCAGTGCGTCTTTATTTGTGCTGCTACTTTGCTGCCCTCTGGGCGTTAAATTGACTTGGCTTAGGCTCACACACTACACACACTATGCACACACACACACACACTCACGCACTCGCACACTCTCTGTTATTCGCACACACGTGGGACTCACGCATGGCCGCATCTGGACAGGCATCTGCTCTGCCGAGTTACCTTGGAGATGGTAAGTTGATCATCAGCTTGAGCCCTTTGAACTTTCACTCGAGAACTTTAAACCCATTTAACTGGCTGAATTTGTAAAACGCGAGCGGCTTACCCGTAAATTTTGCGTATCACTTCGGAAATAAAATTTAGTACTGTCGCTAATTTCGCTGTTTGGCCCGCTGGGCAGAAGTTTAGTGTTAGCCAGTTTAACGCTACATAAGCCAAATGCTTAGCCTTTTTTATCGCTGTCGCCTGTGCCATAAATAAGCCTAGATGGCTGACAAAAAGTAAAACGCGCTACAGCCGAAGACTCTGCTGAACTGTGCCAGGTCTAAACCCACCAAATGTCTCTAAGTAGCTACAGCACTCCGGGGAGCAATTACCCCATCGGGCATCGGGACAGGTAGCGGTAACAAGTTGGGTTTTGACCCGCCTCCCTCTGGCATAGACCAAAAATTAAGTTACATTCTGGCCTGGCGAAAAAGTTGGCTAAAGAATGCCCGCGTCTGGCCATATGTTTCACTAATGGCCGCGCACATTGCGGTCATTAGGGGAGCCGCTGCTGCAGATGGTGCACAGGTGGGTTGGGTTTTAGGGTCTTGGCAGAGCAGCCAGCAGACTATTTGGCCAAACACTTGAGAGTTTTATTGAGCGGTTTTTGCAACTTTCCAATGTGCCCATATATTTAAAGGCATTTTTTCTGCATGTAGCGAGGTAAACCAAACGGTATAAAGAAAAGGGTAAATTTGTAATCATGCTTAAAACACATAAAATTAAAAAGTCATATAAATCTAGCGAGTATCTATGGTCTACCGCTTAGAAATCTGTAAGGTTTTCAAGTAGCATGAGTGTATTTATTATTAGTGCTAAATATCGGTCAATAATAAGTCTAAAGTTAACTATATGTTAAAACGAAATGTACTTTAAGAAATCAATTAAATACAAATGCTACTTACAGTCGATTAATCTGAAATCTATACATAATCTGTCTGTCCGGACTTGGCCTTTACAAGACTTTACTTTTTATCATCGTACTATCTTGATGTTCTCGTCTTAAGTTCGATTTGGCATATGATACTGAAAAAGAGTTTGAAGTCCATCGAGGTCCTACCCATTTAAGTCCCGTGCTTTTTAGCTTGAAGCCTATCGTCTTGCATCAAGTTTTTAAACCGTGGGGTAAATTTTTGGGTCGAATATGTATCAAACAAATTTTCATATGGACTCAATTTCTAGATTTTTGTCAAATAAGTTTTAGGCCAATCGGATCGTAATTAAAATGTTTCATATAACTCAAGACGCGATTTGCTTCTCAAAGCCTTTCATTAGATAAGTAAGCCACAGTAAACATTTCAACTAGATTTGAACTAATTCAACTGTTAAATAATCACTAATCATTCAGTCAGGCAGTCAAAACAAAAGGTCCTCTGTATATTTAGATGAGTGTTGTTTGTAATCTGTTCAACATTTATATATCTCATTTTAACAAGCTTAAATAAACTTCAGCAGAGCCTCGGGTAGAACGCAACAATTGTAAGCATGAAAGCCAAAATGAAATTTAATGCTGACTTGGCGAAATTATAAAATAGAAGTCAGCTTGCCAAATGTAATTAAATTGAACAACACATGCGTTCCGAAAAATATCAAGTAATGTGTGCCTTTTGTAAATATGTGTATTTCATTAATTAATGCAATGTTTAATATTTGCATTAGTTTCGTTTAAGATTTCGGCAATTGCTAATCAAATTACCTAAGAAGCAGGCAACTGCCTGAAAATTATTATGTCGTCGGGAAGGTAAAGAAAATATACCTACTATATTATGATTATCTGTGCGTGCATGTGCATGCATCCAAATTACCAAAACTAATACAAATATAATAACAATTACGCCGAAGAAGCGACGACTAATATGGAGGAGGCACGGCAGGTGGGCTTTGTTAAGAGGTAGATGCATGCATGCTGAGGTGGTGCAAATTGCTTTTCATTGTTTGCTTGAGTGTAAGTGAATGTGCCTGTGTGTGTGTGTGTATATATTTACATATGCGACCAAATTATGCAACCCTCTCACGTATGCGACAATAACCACAGTTATGTCTAGGGAGTATATGGAGGGGCTCAAAGATGTGTGCTCGTGTGTGAGACTGGTGTGTGTGTGTGTGTGTGTGTGTATGTGCGCGTGCATCTCTGCGCAAGTTATTACCGGGTATGTTTAAATTGCAAATGAGCTTGCCTAGCATTTCATCAAATCAATGTAATCAAAGTAGCATCCACCTATTCAACTCTCTCCCAATTCATCAGTAAGTCAGACATCCAGTCAGTTAGTCAATGATTGTCCAACTGATTTGAGTGCATATCCTTTGCATTCTGCTGTGTGGATTCAATAAAATGTTTGCTTTCATTGATACGAATCTGTTTGAGAAGACATTTCGAGTGAACGGGTAAGCCAAGGACATTTCTGGTATTTATTGATCCAAGGCATTATAAATCAAAGAGATTAATCATGCCGTACAATGGCAAATCCCTTAAAAGGAATTGCAAATTCCGGCCTTTTGTATCTCTGACTGAGCAAAATATTAGCACACTTGAGCCGCTGACAAAGCTAGAAATAGAAATGGATAAACAAAAAAAATAAATAAATAAAAGAACCCAAAGCACAAAGTAGAAAATTATGCAAACGAGGCCACTCTCTCTGCGAAAAAAGGGACAACGAGCCCCAATATCACAGAGTGAACCACAGAAGAATTGGCCTAAAACAAAAGCCAAGACAAAGACATTAAAGTGCTCAACTCTGACTACTATGTAAATTTTATGGTTGCACCTTTTCCAAGAAAGCAAAACAGGCTAAAAAAAAAGCAAAAATAAAACAAAGAAAAACTCTGTAAAAACCCGCACAAGGCTGTCTCCGGGTCGCAGTCAGTCGACCAGTCGCTAATTATGATATATGTAGGTGAGGTATTCAAGGAAACATTATATAACAACACACATAAATTGATATTAATTGCGGTTTGCGTCCACAACTCATTGACGTCTAAATGCTGTCTAATTGTTTTTGGTCATTATTTTTGGTTTATTTAGTAGCCGCCCTTCTTTTCCAGGCAGCGAACAGATTTCTGCAGCGTCATTAAAATGAAACTGGGGTGGCGGCATAAGGAACGCAAATAATCATTTAATTGCAGCTGGATTCTCAGCTCTATTTCCCCAATGCAAACCCAAAGTAAGCCAGCAAAACGTGGCCCCTAGTAGCAACAACTTGGCAAGGAATTGAAAGCACTTGAATACATTTTGGTTATGTAAGATTTATAGTCGAATGACACTGGCTGAAATCAAGCATATGCATTATCTTGGCTTGAGTCTTCGCATTAAGAATTTATTGTTTAATTATGAAAATATTTTCCAACCAAATTTCAACCTAATACCGCTTCTTGATCACACGACCATTTTTTTCGATTCGTTTGAACACGTTTGATCATGATTCCAGATCTCAAGATTTTGGGCAATTTTTTTTTTCTTTTAGATTTTGGCCAAAAAAAGTCTTTTGATAAATGTATTAATTAGTTGATTAATTAAAAGATAATTGATTTTCTGAGAATTCGGTATACCTTCTTTTACTTTTTTCATTTTATTTCATTTGAATTTATTTTATTAAATTGTATATATATCCCAAATTTCCGAAATTTTCTTTTAGCCGTTAATTGTAATTTTATTCAAAGATTTTTGAATATGTTTTTTTTAAGAAGATTTATGTAACAATTAAATATGATATTTTCATTAATATGAAAGCTTTTTTTTGCAAAAAATAATGTTTTAGTTTTGTGAAGCGTGATGATTATTGTGATTACTTAGATTCGGCGCTTTCGGCTAGTGTCAGTGGAGAATAACTAGATAAAATATAGTTGCACGGAATGGCAGCTAGTTCATTTTGAAGCGAACCTAAAGAGTGCGGCATAATATTTATGTTTAATGTTTGGGATGAGGGTTGGCAATTTATTTGAAACCACATAAAACAAGTGGCGAGTAAAAATGTAGCCGCTGCTGTGCTTTGGCTTCTGGTGTTGCCTTGGACCGGCTAATGAACAAACAGAACGGATGATGAAAACCACAGTAAACAAGAGCACAACAGCAGCGCTGGCAAATAGCTGGGCAAAAGGACGTAAGGACTAAAAGGACTTAGCACGTAAACGGGCGCGTTGCATAAGCAAAAACAAACTTCAAACGAGAGCCAAATGATAGCAAACTGACAGCAGTCAGCGGGCGGCGTGCGGCGGGCAGCGGTGCAACCAAAAGCAGTGCAGCATTATTAACTTGAATAAAAATATTTACTGCTCGTCAAGGGTTCAGCTATCCACTGCGGCAGTTGGTTGCGATGCGATGACGAAGTGACAAGGACGAAAAACAGTAACTATGATGTTGATGAAATGCGCCACTTAATGCGCGGCCATTTACTTTGGCGCACAAAAGCAGGCTACAGTTATTTTTCTACTGTTGCAGTTTGTTAGCCAAGCCATGATTAAAGTTGATTTTGTTGTAATTTGCTGCTGCCTTTGGGTCTGGCAAGTTTGTTATCGCTGTTGCTGTGCTCCTTCTTGTTGCTGTTGTTGTTGTTATTTCTGCCGTGGCTCCCTCTTTTAAGTGGCACAATTTTGTGGCGCTCAAGTGTTTCACCTGCGCTCTGCGTTGTCGCGTCGCCATCTTCATAACGCATCGCTGCTCAAGCGTCTATCCGAGTGCAGCTGAGTGAAAAACCGCAGCTGCCAAGTGCAGGCCGTCTGGGGTTGTGGGGAAGGGCTGGCACAAGGGGGCACGACCTGTCGCCCCACACTGCCTGGCAAAACATGCGCGAATTAATCTTAATTGAAATTCCATGCCGCACAGTACGGCTTGCCATATGCCTTCTGTTTACACACACCCACATACCACCACACGCACACAGGCTCGCACGCAATAAAATATTAAGCAAAATTAAAATGCGCACTCACACGAATGAACAGTGAGTCCTTGCCAAATATGGTCGAGCCTGTTGGCAGCCGCCCATATCATCATATTTTAAGATATTTTATTTTTCACATTTTCTTTCCGTGCCACACCCACCGGCAGCAGCAGCTCAGTTTACTTTTCATTAAAACGTATTAAAATCCTACACAGCAACAACAAAAGCACACCTACACACACACTTACAAACACACACATACAAACATTTATGCAGTTGCTCTTGCTCTCTCTTTCCATCCACAAACAATTAGACGGCATGCTAATTGTTTTAGAAGGCATTCGCACTTCGTCGCTTCTCGAGCATTACAGTACCCCTTTTGCCGCCTGGCAGCCAGGCCCCTATTGCTGGCAATCTTGCAGCTTAAATTGAAATTTAATACCATGGCATAATCCATGGGATTGGGCTGTACACATGTTAAACACATTTTTGCCTCAACTTTCTTGTTCGCCTTCCCATTCAGAAGCTCCAGCTTCAGAGTTTTTAGCTAAAAATCCTTTTGCCATATTGCAGACAGAGTTCTCGCCAGGCACTTTTACCTGCACATTCTAATTTGTATGCAAATCAAAATCAATAGGATTAACCAAGTTACATAGTGGTTGTAGCTGTGTGGACTGCATTGGTGCTGCTGTTGTTCTTGTTGTTTCTCTTCTGCTGCACGCTGCAAAAATTGTTTTTTAACAAAAATATTTCAATGCATGCAGCGTGCGCCGCAGGTATGTTTGGTTGCTTGTGTATGTGTGTGTGTGTGTGTGTGTGTGTGTGTGCTTGTCCTGGAGTGTGTGGCTTAACCATACATAGCTCTCGGCTTATCTCTAAACCTTTTACACTCTCGCAGATAAGCCAAAGTTTATGTTATGCAGCTTGCCTCTCAAGTTTATAAACTTTTTGGCTGGCTTTGGGCTAGTGCAAACAAGGTAAGAAGTAAATTAATGATAACTAAACAAGGCAAAAGTGTTTTAATAATTTAATAAAGTGATACAGCTTCTTAAAAGAATATAAACACGTTTGCGACAGGATAAGGAAAAACGTCAACAGAAAAAAAATATTGAAAAAGGCTTAAGCCTGAGATATGTGAAAATTCCAAGAGCAAAAGCCTAAAGCTGCTTTCTTTAGTAAAACGCGGCTTACTGTGTGCCGAAAGCAAAATCTTCTGGCAACAGAGCAGATGTATCAGGCGAAAAGTTGGGCGAATTTCTGGCATGCAATGAATTGTTATTTATTTTCCAGAGAGATCCACCTTTGGATTTTAATACCTAGTAGCCAAGCTATAAAAGCAAATCCTTTATATTTTTTAGGTCCACTTAATTATAAGCTAAATATATTCTTATATGTATTTGAAATTCGTTTCTTGGGGAGAGCCAGCGTAATACTTTTGGCTTAGTTGATATTTTCAAGAAAATAACTTAAGTACACTTAACTCGGTTTAGTTATGAGTATTTGCAACTGTCGCCCCTTTTCACCTGCAATGCGCTCCTGTACACACACATTGTTCCGCCCTCATGCGAATATGTGTTAATATTGAAAAGGTAGTCGGCTGACAGTTAAGAAAAGAAAAAAAAAAACAGCAAAAAAATAAACTTTGTACTTTGCGTTCGCTTTTGCGGCTTTCCTTTTGCCGCTGGCCCCAAAGTAAAAGCAGCCTGACAGTTGGGGATTTCAGAGTGCAAAGATAATCCGCAGGTTATATATGTATATGTACGTTTCTGTACTCCTGCTCGCCGCTGCAGTTGAAGATTCGGTATCAGGTGAATGCCATAGCATTGAGCAACATAGCATCGCATTTTTTTATACCCTGAACGCATTAAAAAAAGGGTAAATGGTTATTGTGCAAATGTATGTAACAGGCAGCAGGATGTATTTGCGATCCCATCAAGAACAATATAAGAGAGAGGTATGATATCTGCCTGTGCAGATTAAATTATCGTGACGAAGTTTATAGGAGATAGAAGAACTTAATGCAGGAGATAAGCCAGTTCATAATATCATTTCCCGTGGAAATTAAAAACTATTATTTGTAGATAAAAGCTTAGGCTTAGCTGCTTACATACACCTGGATGTCATATATGTATCCTGAGAATAAACAGCCGAGTTATTCGAGAACGCCTTTCTTATAATGTGAGGCTGAAGGAAGAAGCAGTACTACTCGTTTGATTTTGCGAAAATACATGTATAGAAGAGTATAACATTTTGTGCGTGTGGTTTCGAAGATGGGTTCAGGGTATCGCCTAGTCGGGCACTCCCGACTGCATCACTCTTGCATGCCAACCAGCAGCATATGGCAATCGTGGACAGGATGCTGCTGCCGTTGGCATCTGTGGTTACATTTATGAACCCATTGCAGCTGTTGCTGTTGCTGCAGGGTTCTAAACGTGCCCGCAACGAGCGTATTTCATGATGAATGTGTTTAAATGAACATGCCAAAAGGGGTAAAAATAAAAACCATCGAAACCTGGATTTAGCATCGTTTTAACTTGAATTGCGGTTTAAATTGGCCTGAAGAGCAGAGCTCCAACGACATTAATTAGTAGCAAAAAAAAAAGTGCTTCAGATAGAAACTGCCGCTACTTATGCGAAACACTTTTACTAATTTCATTAATTCTTTTTTTTTTATATATTTTTTTGTGTTTAGTTTACCAGCCACGCCGCCATTTTGCGTAGAAGTGGCGCATTTAATTAGGCTAATAAAGTAATTCAGAGCAGCGAGTGTTGCGTTGCGAGGCAAGTGGTTGCTATCTACAGTGGCTGCTAATAAAACTGTTATAATGAGTTGGCAGTAACAAACGGCAATTGGCCTGGTTGAAAGGATACACAAGAGAGAAAGAGATAGAGAGAGAGAGAGAGAGAGAGAGAGAGAGAGAGAAACAGAGAAAGAAAGAAGGAGAGCGAGGGCGAACGTGCGGCAGCAAGGCAAACTATGCCTCAATCAAATAGAAAATAGAATTATCTTGGTAAAAGTGTGCTGGCGTGTGTGCTAGTTAATGTGATTAACACTGGCTTGCCATGTGTGTCTGTATGTGTGTGTGTGTCCCTTATGGTGTGTTGCTAATATTTGTTATTTGCCATGTTCAATGCCTGCGCCCTTGAGTATGCAACATATTTTTTACGCCGCGAACTGCTGCAGCAGGCGATCGCCGTAAATCCTTTTTAATTAATTTCATAAATCAAGACCAATGCACACACTCGCATATGTATGTATTTATGCATATAAATCATGTAATTAACATGCACATAGCACGCGCACGGGGCAGCCAGACCCCAACTTGCAACATATGAGCCTGCATTGTGCAGCAGCGGTGGTCATGATAAACAAGATATTAACGACTTAATTTACTGCAGCCCAAGCGCCTTGTGTGTGAGTCCATGGCCATAAAATGCAGGCAGGCAGCACAAATACAAAATGTTAAATAAATAAACCAGGCAATCGACAAAAAGGAAATCAAGAAAGCAAAGCTATCTACGGCACGCCGA